ACTGAGCTACATCCCAGGCTCTATGCTTTTTTTAATTTCAAACTGGACAGTGACACTGCCTTGCAAACAGTAATTATCCAGCTCCGCTTTATGATATTTGTTAAAACTTTGGGGGGCCTCACTTAGAGATGTTTTAAGTAATACTATTAACAGGAGGGCCGGGGATTTAGCTCAGTGGTTCCGCCGCCTGCATTGCAAGTGCAAGGTCCCAAGGTTGATCCCTGGTATCAAAAAAAATATATATACTATTAACAGGAGACTTTATGCAACCCCATTTTTGTCAGGGATGTTTGGATTGACTCTGGCTTTTTTTTTGGTACCAGGGATCAAACTTAGGACCTTGCGCTTTTAAGGCAGGTGTGGGCACCACTGAGCCAAATCCTCGGCCCCCTGGGTTCTTATTTTAAATTTACTGTTAGAGTCCTTGCTTTCTTTTTTTTGTAGTGGAGAGTTTGAACTCATGGCCTTGCACATAGTACGCAAGTGCACTACCACTGAACTCCACCTCCACCCCAAATTTATAGTAATTTCTTATTATTCTTTTTCTTTCTATTCAGTTGGGGCCTATTTCAGCCCCCCTCCTCCTTTTTCTTTCTTTTTTTTGTAGGCAGGGTCTTGCTTTGTAGGTCAGGCTTGAAATCATGGCAATCCTCCTGCCTCAGCCTCCCAGCAAAGTTGGGATTACAGGTGTGCACCACATGTCCAGTTTACTTCGGCCCATTTTAAATACACCTATTTAGTAACATAGGTGAAATAAAATTAAATCATTCATTTGTATCCTTCCACTGGTTATCCTTACATGATTAAGAGACATAATTAGTGGGCTGGGTATTTAGCTCAGTGGTTCCCCTGCCTGCCTCGCAAGTGTGAGGTCCCGAGTTTGATCCCCGGTACCAAAACAGAAAAAAAAAAGAGAGAAAGACATAATTAGTATAATGAACTGTCAACATAATAAATGCAGCAGGGGCTGGCGATGTAGCTAAGTGGTAGATCACTTGCCTAGCATGTACAAGGCCCTAGGTTCAATCCCATTGCAAAATAAACAGAACAGTCCCTATAACATTCCTTTTGCATGAAAAACACCAGACGTCATGTCTAGCATTTGGCATATATCTGTGATCTCAGCACTCTGGGCAACCGAAGCAGGAAGATCACAAGTTCAAGCCTAGCCTCAGCAACTTAGCAAGACTCTCCTTCAAAACTGGAGAATAAAAAAACATATAAAAGGGCCGGGGATTTAGCTCAGTGGTTCCGTTGCTTGCCTTGCAAGCGCAAGGATCCGAGTTCGATCTGGTACCAAAAACAAAAACAAAAACAAAAACATATAAAGGACTAGGGATGTAGCTCAGTTCAAAGGCCCTGTTGCCAGCTCCCCCGCTCAAATATATATATATATACACACACACACACACACACACACACACACACACTTATACACACACACACACATATACTGTATGTATATATTTGGATTGTAAAGAACTTTTACTTCAGCTTATTGCTTCTAATTTTCTGATAAAATATGAAAATTTTTCCTAATTATTGAATTGTTATTATTCTCAATTAAAAAACATCTTCATCTGTTCTTTCAAATTGTTACTGAATTCTCAACTTAAAATGCTCTGGCCGGGGATTTAACTCAGTGGTGTCGTCGTCTGCCTTGAAAGCACAAGGTCCCAAGTTCCATCACCGGTACCAAAAAGAAAAAAAAAAAGATATAAAATGCTTTGGTTTTCTAGTATTAAGAAATCTGATCCTCTCCGTGTTGCTAACTTTGTTTCTAAAAACTTTATAGGCTCCTCTGTTTTCCCCTGGTGTCTTGAAATGATGTTATCTGTTTCTCTTCCCATGTACTCTATAAAGATTCTCATCTATCTGTGCAGAAGCATTCTTTTTAATAACATTTCCTTTTTTTCTCATTTGTTTTCTCTTTTTTAGGTACCAGGGATCGAACTCGGGTCCTTGTGCTTGCACGGCAGGCGGCGAAACCACTGAGCTAAATCCCCTGCCTATCTTTTTTTTTTTTTTTTTTTTTTTTGGGTACCAAGGATCGAACTCGGGACCTTGCACTTGCGAGGCAGGCGCCGGAACCACTGAGCTAAATCCCTGGCCCTCGTTTATTTTCATTACTTTAATCCTACAGTTTTTGGATTTATTTTGTAAGTCTCAATTTATCATATTTTAAACCAAGATGTATCACATAAAGGTACAAATTCCCAATGATGAATGTCGTCATATTGTATACCTAAAATGTACCAATAAACTTAATGAATAAAAGTTTATCATATTTTATATTGGTCTTTTTGATGTATATTCTGAGATATATACAGTATTTTTTAATTTTCCACATCTTTTTTTGTTGTTGTTCTTGATTTTTTTGAGACAGGGTCTCACTATGTATCCAGGCTGGCCTCAAACCCTTATAATCCTCCCACCTCAGCTTCTCCTGAGTGCTGGGATACAGGAATGCAACACCACGCCCAGCCTTCCACATCATTCTTTATACGCAGCCTTTCTAATCATTGTTTCATTTTAACAGGCATTTTTAAATTTCCTGACACTTTTTTACTGGTATTTTTGAAGGATGTGGTATTCTGGGTTTGAGATGGAGTCTTGCTCTGTAGCCCAGACTGGTCCCAAACTCATCATCTGTCTGCCTTCCCCTTCTTTTGGGGGGAGGGGGTGGGATAGGGTCTCACTTAGTAGTTCAGGCTGGTCTCAAACTTGCAGTGATCCTCCTGCCACACCCTTTCTTTTTTTTTTATACCAGGGATCGAACTCAGAACCTGAGCTAAATCTGCAGCCCTGCCTCACCCTCTTGAGTGCTAGGATTACACACATGTGCCATCATACCTAGCTATCATTGTTCTTTATAACATTTTATTTTACAGAATCAATAGCTATGGGTGAGTATGGTGGCACAGACAAACATATAATCCCTGCTACTCAGGAAGCTGAGTCAGGAGGATCACAAGTTTTAAATCTAGCTTGGGAAATTTTGTAAAGACCTAGTCTCTTAAAAAATATAAAATCTTGGGCCGAGGATTTAGCTCAGTGGTTCCGCCACCTGCTTCGAATGCAGAAGGTCCTCAGTTCAATCCCCAGTACCAAAAAAAATATATATATATATATAAAATCTGGGGCCAGAGATTTAGCTCAGTGGTTTTGCTACCTGCTGCGCAAGCGCAAGGACCCGAGTTCAATCCCTGGTACAAAAAATAAATAAATATACTTTAAAAAATAAAATCTGAGCATGTAGACTCGTATCTGTAATCGTAGCACTCCAAGGACTGAACCAAGAGGATCACAAATTCAAGGCCATCATGGGCTACACAGTAAGCACAAAGCCAGGTTGGACTACATGAGACCATGAGCAAAACAAAAAAAGAAAAAGAAAACTGAGCATGGTTGCCCATGCCTGTGATTCTAGCACTCAGGAGGCTGAGGTAGGAGAATCACTGTAGGTTCAAGTCTAGCCTGGGCTACAAAGTGAGTTCAAGGCCAGCGTGAATTACATAGCAAGACCCTGTCTCAAAAAAAGAAAAAATAGCCAGGGATTTAGCTCAGTGGTTTTGCCGCCTGCTGAGCAAGTGCAAGGACCCGAGTTCAATCCCCAGTAACAAAAAAAAAAGAAATTTAAAAATTAAATCAACCTATAACTAGGACTGGGGCTGTAACTCAGTACTCCCTAAGTTCAATGCCAGTACCCAAAAAGAAAAAAACCTCATGAATTATCAATTCTGGCTTTTAGTGAAATCACCTTAGTAAAAAACAAGAGATCAAGCATCTTGGTGCACACCTGTAATCCCAGCTATTCTGGTGGTTAGGGAGAAACAGCATACATTCTAAGCCAGCCTAGTCAATTTAGCAAAACTCTATCTCAAAATAAAACAATAAAAGTCTGGGGATTTAGCTCGGTGATGCCACCACCTGCCACCTGCCTCGCAAGCAGAAGGTCCCTGAGTTCAATCCCCGGTACCAAAAAACAAAAAAAAATAAAAAATAAAATAAAAAAGGCTGTAGGGCCAGGGATTTAGCTCAGTGGTGCCCACACCTGCCTCACAAGCACAAGGCCCTACATTTGATCCCCGGTATCAAAACAAAAAAAGGGCTGTAAATGTAGGTCAATGCAAAGGCTCTGGATTTACTCCCCATCACAATAACATATATAATATAGTTTATAATATAATATATATACATATATCTCAGTTGTTTTGGAAAGAAATGTCCCCCAAAATACCAGCTAAGTATATATTTCCTCCAATCTGTACCTTCAAAAAAACTACTTCTAGGGCCTGGGATTTAGCTCAGTGGTTCTACTGCCTGCCTCGAAAGCACAAGATCCCGAGTTCAATCCTCAGTACCAAAAAAAAAAAAACTTACTTCTGGCCAGGGATTTAGCTCAGTGGCCCCCAAATGCCATGCTTGAGTTCAAGGCCAGCCTGAACTACAGATCAAGATCCTGTCTCAAAAAAGCCCCAACTACCATTGATAGCTGGAGGTAGCAGAATCTCAAAATTTGGGAGGCTGAAGGAGAAAGATCAGGAGTTCAAGGCCATCTTAGGTTCAAGGCCAAAATGGATTATATTGTGGGATCCTGTCTCAAAAAACCAGAAAAATATCCCTGAAAAGAGGAGATGGCAAAACAATGTCCTGATTATGAGTTAAAGTCCACTTGCAAAGACTATTTCAGTTTTCTAATTTATTAAGTTATGTATGATGCCACCTAAGAAAATTTAAATTGGGGAGGAGACGTAGCTCAAAAGTGGAGTGTTTGCCTAGCATAAAGGAAGACCCGTGTTCAATCACCAGTACTGCAAAAATAAAAAAAGAAAAAAGAAAAAATAAAACTAAAACACCACCCAAAAGGTTTCAGTCATTTAAACTACATTGATGATACATGAGACAAAAAGCTTCAGGTAACAGAAAGCATCTTCCTCTCATCACGAAAAAACACATGACAAACTTTTTTTGATCCAAGAGAAAGACAATTAACTTACTAGCATGCTTGTCCGCAAGCATTATAAGCGTATTGGAAATATCTCGTCTTCTATAAAAACACACTACTTTCGCTTCCACGTTGCCACTCGCAGTCTAAGAAATGAGAAAAATAAAAGTTATCTGGGCGTTGAGGGTGTAGCTCAGTGACAAAATATGTGCTTAGCAAGCATAAGGCCCTGGGTTCAATCCCAACACCAAAAAAAATGGGAAGTTATCTGAATTGTAATAGTTTATGAAACAAAACCAGACACATGAGTTATAAGGTCACTTGTATTAACACTGTGCCAACCACAATGACAGGATAACCAGAAAGCTAAAAAATTCAAGTAAGGATAAACAATGTAATCTGTTCAGTTTCTAAGCACAACTAGAATGTCAAATATACGATAGTAACTCACTAGGATCAATTATATTAACATGAGTACATTACTTTAATGACTAAAGCCATACACAGTTAAGTGATTAGCTTTAAGAAATTAATCAAGGGCCAGGGATTTAGCTCAGTGGTTTCACTGCCTGCTGCGCAAGCGCAAGGACCCGAGTTCAATCCCCGGAACCAAAAAAAAGAAATTAATCTGCAAAATTTTTTAAAACATATCTGACACAAGCCTAGCCTATTTCTTCCAAACCTATTCCTAAAAAATCCCTAGTTAACTATATAATCCTCCTAGCCTTCCCCTCAACATCCTTGTTAAATTGATGGCAAAGCTCTCCACATGAGGACAGCCAGACAGCCTTGAAAAACACCCGCCAGGCCAAGGGCAGCTGCTCATCCTTAACAGTCAATATTCTCAGTAGTACTTGGTTTACCTTCACATGTGAAAGTATTAAAAGCCTGAAGTTATGAACACTGAAACTCTTATTTCTTGTTGACTACAGTCTAGATATAATCAATAGTCAGTTAGGCTGTAATTTACTGCAGCTGAGGCCCAGGCTCCTAGTCTCCTATTTGCTACGAATTCTGAGAGCTTTCAAGAAGGTCATTCATTACTAAATTCCTTGTAAAAACACATAGATTATAATAAAATGCTGCTGCAATTTTCAATTTCTAACAAATTTGAGAACATGTTTTCAGAATTTCTGAACAGATATATTCAAATATATAAAGAAATGATTATCCATGTGCTGCAGTAAATCTGTCAATTTTATGAAGTTGAGCCTTATTTTACAGTAAAAAATGGTACTAAAGAAACACTGCCCCTTAAAATTGAAATCATTTAAATTTCTAACCAAAATCCTTCTATATTTCACAATATTGTGATCAAAACATCCTCCAGAAATAATGATCGAGCAATCTGCTAAATGAACAGGCCAATATTTCCATGTAAATAAAATCTATCTGACTTCCCACTCTAAGCTTTTTATCATTTTTGTCTCATTAGCAACTTCCTCTAACAGAGATACTCTTATAAAGACACTTAAATCCTTATTAAATAAGCTTGACAGGTAAAGGTACAGTTCAAAATAAATTATTTTGGGGGCTATGGCTGTAGCTTAGTCATAGAATGCATGCTTAGCATGCTCAAGGCCCTAGTTTCAATCCCCAGCACCAAAAAATATTCTATTCTGGACCATGCACACATTTAGCTATTGCGTACCTTACAATGACAGCCCAAATATTCTTCATACCCTCTACAAAATATACACACTCCCTCAAAAGTACTCCTGTGAAGCTTTTTTTTTTGAGGGAAGGTCTCCTTTTGTAGTTCAGGCTGGCCCTGAACTCACTATGTAATGCTGGCCTCGAACTCCCCGTGATCCTTCCGCCTCAGCCTCACAAAGGCATGCACCACCACTCCTGGCTACTCCTGTGAAGCTTTACTACTCAAAATAGAGGTCCACCACCCAGTGCAAATCCAAAACTGTCACTGGAGTGTAATAAATTGAGTACAGGGAGCTAGAGGGATAGCTCAGTGGCAGAGTACTTGCTTAACATGGTTCTATCCCTAGCACTGCAAAAAATAAGTAAATAGGGCCAGGGATTTAGCTCAGTGGTTCTGCTGCTTGCCTCACAAGCATAAGGACCCAAGTTCGATCCCCAGTACCAAAAAAAAGTAAATAAAATGAGTTGAGGACCAAGTATAGTTGGTATATGCCAATAATCCCAAATAGTGGAGAGGTCAAGGCAGAAGGATCACAAGTTCCAGGCTAGCCTGGACAATACTTCACTTCAAGATCTTTCTCAAAATTTAAAAAAGGATTGAGAATATACCTCAGTGGTACAGTGCTTACCTAGCACATTCGGGGCCCTGGCTTCAACCCCGAGTAACAGGAAGAAAAAAAAAATTAAAAAATGTAAATCCTTCTCCAGTTTCACAAGCATCTGCTCAAAAGACCTAGAACAGTGTCGAACCTATGGCAGGCGTACCACAGTGGGCTGTTTGTATCATTGAAAGCTCTAAAAGGTTCCCTATCACTGATATAGGTTGAGCCTGGCATGATGACACATGCCTCTAATCTCAGCACTCTGGAAGGCTGAGGCAGAACAAGTTGAGGCCACCTGGACAACACAGTGGCTTAGGAAGACTTTTTAAAATAAAGGCAGGGGAGGGGGCTGGGGACTTATTTCTGTGCAAAGGCCCTGGAATCAACTCCCAGTACTGGGGAAGTTAAAGTTTATATACATAGTCTCATTATTTCTTCAATTCACCATATGTCTTTGGGGTCCTCCACTGAGACGGTATGATGGTACATGCTGGCTCCCACGGAGGAGCCCCCACTGCAGCATGGATGCTTGTTCCCAGACATCCTCTCCCTAATTAAAAACCTTTACCAGTTTCCCACAACTACAGCACTAAGGTAAAGCATTCTCAACAAAACACTCAGACCTCTTCTCCTTTCCTTTCCCCTCTGGATTTCATTTCTCACTCATGGACTCAAGATGGTACAATCTGTTGGGGACAGGACCAAGAAAGCCACTGAGTGGGAAGGATGAGGTGGAAAGTCCTTAATCTTTAAAAAAAAGAATAAAGTCCAATTGGTACAGTCTGAAAGACTGAGTATTCTGGAATAAAGGTAGAAAAAGTGCAATTATTTGTAGACCGCCCACAATGAACATTGATTTCCACCATGTAGGTTGCAGAGCCTCTTAAATCTCCATTCTGTTAAATACATTTACTAAAAAATCCTCTAGCAGTAAGGGCTTTTCTTAATTAAGCTTTAAAATTATCTCAGACAACCTCATACTCACATTTCTATCCCAAATTTAGAAAATACATAATTACAAAAAAAGCCACACACATACAAAGAACAAAGCAACTTCCTCTTCATTAAGTCCATGGTTTGCCCAGACTAAAGAACAAATGGATGCTGGGCATGGTGGCCCACCCCTACAATCACAGCACTTGGGAGGCAGAGGCAGGATTCCCAAGGAGTTTGAGGCCATTCAGGACTATTTAGTGAGTTCAAGGCCACCCTGAACTAGTAGCAAGACCCTGTGTCAAAAACAAACAAAAACGGGCCAGGGATTTAGCTCAGTGGCACCGTACCTGCCTCCCAAGCGCAAGGTCCTGAGTTCGATCCCCGGTACCAAAAAAAAAAAAAACAAATGGAATTGAGCATGATGGCACACACCTAATCCCAGCTACCTGTGAGGAAGGACTGCTGCAAGCTTGAGCCCAGCCTGGGCAACCTGGTAACTCAGTGAGACCCTGTCTCAAAGTAAAAATAAAAAGGGCTGAGAACAAAGATGAATGAAAGGACACCAGACATGATCTGCAGTACTGGGAAGGAAAAAAAAAAAAAAGACAACTGGAAAAAGGATTTACTGATTTCTTTATTTGAGACAGGGTCTCGCTATGTAGTTCAAGCTGGACCTGAACTATGTAGCCCAGGCTGGCCTTGAACTTATGGCCATCCTCCCACCTCAACCTCCTTTGTGCTGGGATTATAGGTGTGCATCACCACATCTAGTCCAGGACTTTCCTAATCTGTCCGGTTCCCAATAGATCCCAAATAGCAGGAGAGATCTTGAGTTTTGACTGGATTTCATGGAATGGTTTGAGGTAATTCCCTGAAATTGTGTACAAAAGCTTCTATGTACAAATGTGGCAGGAAGTGTAGCTTAGTACTCCAGCATAGCCAAAAAAAAAAGGGGAGGGCCGGGGATGTAGCTCAGTGGCACTGCACCTGCCTGGCAAGTTCAAGGTCCTGAGTTTGATCCCCGGTGCCAAAAAAATAAAAAGGAGGGGGTCACTAAGCCAGGTGCAGTTGCCCACAAAACTGTGATACCAGCCACTTGGAAAGCTGAGGCTAAAGAATTCTAAATTCCAGGGCTGGGGATTTAGCTCAGTGGTTTTGCCACCTGCTGCACAGGCGCAAGGACCGGAGTTTGATATCTCGTACCAAAAAAAAAAAAAACTAAGTTCCAGGACAGCATGGGCAACTTAGACTCTGTGTCAAAACAAAATTTTTTTGGGGGGTACTGGGCATCAAACTTGGGTCCTTCGGCTTTCCATGCAGGCAGCAGAACCACTGAGCTAAATCCCTGGCCCCAAAAACAAAATTTTAAGAGGGCTAGGGATGTAGCTCGAAACAGACTGCTTGCCTAGCACAAGCAAGGCACAGGTTTCAATGCCTACTAATTGCAACAACAACAACAACAAAAACCTGAAAGCTTGGGCTGGGGATTTAGCTCAGTGGTTCTGCTGCCTGCTTCAAAAGCGCAAGGACCCAAGTTCGATCCCTGGCACCAAAAAAAAAAAACCCTGAAAGCTTTGGTGTACAAACAGGGGGGGGAGGGGGGCGGTGTCTGGAGGGGTCCTGCGGTTTCAGGAGATGGCAAAAGTTAGTGACTCTCCTCTCTCCTCCCCCCCACTGAAAAATAGGATACTGGACATGAAAGAGGATGTCAGGGCACGTTAAATGGCCAATAATGAAACATACAGATGACTGTGATGATATATATAAATTATACAACTCACTAAAAAAAAAAAAAATCAGTAACAAACAACAGCTGGGCATATAGCTTGCACCTGTAATCCCTGCACTTGCCAGGCTGAGGCAGGAAGATCCTGAGTTTAAGGGCAGCCTGGACTACAAAGTGAGACACTATCTCAAAAATACAAAAACAGGGGCCGGGGATTTAGCTCAGT